CACTCAAAAATTCTCGAAAGGGAGATATTTGTATGGACAAAATTTGTGGCCTTGCATGCCAAGAGCTAGCACTGTTATAGCACTCTGCCAACGCTCCCATTAACACTTCGTCAACACTGCCTCATCATCTTTTGACATCGCAGTAGAGACATATCTCCATAGCTGATAGCTTACGGCACAGGTCGTATATTAGACGGGGTATCAGGGACTGGTGCATTTTTATTTCCCTGGACAGATTGTCAGTTTGGCCCTGAGCTTCCAAATGCACAAAATTACATGACTCATTCAAACTGCAAACATAAATTCACATGACCCACCCATTCTTATGAAACAAAATACTATATTTTCAAAATATCGCAATTTACAATGTATTCATAGATCATATGAAAAAGGGAGTGGCTATCGTAACGCCTTTGTTGATAATTTTTTATCCGTTGAAAGAACATATTATAATAATAAAGACCTCAAAGTTTGATTGCTCTAACATTCAAGGACCAGAAAATACAGGTGTTTGAAATTGCAAAGACTTTAAAGTGAAAATCAGCATTGACGCAATATTCAGCATTTCAAACTAAAACTCTGCCAGCTTACTAGTTTAGATGTATTCTTTTATATGGTAAAAGCAGATTTTGAAAAAAAAAACATTTAATGTGCTCATTCTCAGTCTTCTGCTCGTTTTTCATATGGTCCATAGTTGCGGCTGATTTCATACTTAAACACTAGAAAAGCCTGAACGGGATGAATGGGATGAACTAAAAAAAGGAACCCTTAAAAATCTTTACATAATTTTGTGAAGCCCCTCAGTAGAGGGGAGGGCTGTCTGATCCCATTTTCCAATCTTTTTTTTTTGTCAAAATCCCATTCCCATCCCTCCCTTCTAATATATTACTGGTCCCTTAGAGTACTTTGTATTCCAGCAAAACTAAAGTACCGCTTATACTCAGCAATATTACGCTTTCAGTAGAACACTGGTCAAGCATTGAAATCTGTATTTGGGATCGAAACCACAATGACCACCCACAAGAGCTTGGAAAGAGAACTACTCCATGAGTGATGTTGATGCGAGCTATGAAAATTCTAAACTAAAACATTACCTGGTATACACCTTTGTTTTTAGGGGTGTCTCATTTTTTGAGAAGATTGGAAGGTTTTGTTCTAAGGAATATTTTTTGGGGGGGACTTCAGGCACGCGCTTCTAATTGTTTCGGTAAATTTACAAAAGGTGCTTTTGCCGTGCAGAAATTCTTTTTTCAAAATATTAACAACACTGTCAGTAATGAAATTACATTACAACTTTTTATTGCTAGTCTCGACAAACACTTAGAGAAGGAAATTTTGCTTTTTCTCATACTCATAATTATAGTTATGTTGAAACTTTCAATCACTTACACGTGAATTCATAACACACGATAAATAGCCCGTCACATGTTTTTAATAATAATAATAATATAGCAATCATGTAAAATAATAAAATAGTTTCATTTCGAGACTTTTTGAGTGGCCAACTATTGGAATGATCTTCACAGAAACCGTCAGAAGGAAATATGGGGCTAAGCCGTCAAGATACAATCGCTTTCATTGTTTAAAAGTGTCTAATTACTTCATTTAATTCGATCAGATGATATATTTGGTTGACTTCGATGTTTGAGAAAAAATTTCATTCGAATGATCTATCTGAGTAAATGTAAACAAACTGCTAATTTGCATATTGCAAGTCAAAAAATCGTGATATTTGATCGCTCCTATCGCACTACCAGTGTAAAAACCCAGAAATATTTTTCTACCTCGGTTTATATTGATATTTCAACCTCATTCAGGGTGAGTTTGGTAAAAATTGGAGAATGGCCACATGGAGAAAAATGTGTTCGGAAATTTCAACTCAAATCAAGGTTTGAAAACCGGCCAAGCAAAAGTCATTTTTCCTCCCCGTTAAAAATACATTGAAAAGCCAAAACCGATTCCGGGCAACTCCTTAGGAGATATTCTTTCGGATTATGTAAAAAAATTGCGCAAAAATATTTAAATTGATTGAAGAAATAACTTTTAAAAAGTTGCAAGTTTTAGCGGTCTCATATGCTAATTTTAGACCAAATCGGGGTAAAACCAATTTTGCTCAAAAACTCAAATTT